CTGCCCTCTCCCAGGTGGCCAGGACCGTACCCAGTGTCCCCAGCCAGCGCTCCCCGGCTTCTCCAAGGCTGCTTCCCGGAGCTTCCGGAGCCTCCCTTCCAGCTGCTACATGCCAGCCGGGCCAGCTCCGGCTCCATGGTGCCAAGGTCAGGAGTGTGATGCCCAACGCCAGACCTGCTGTGCCAGCAGCGCAGCCGCCAAACCCTGGTCGAATGCACCACTTGCTGGCCGTTCTCGGAACGACACTCCGAGAGCCCCAGGGAAGCCGGAGACCTCTCTGGAAGACCTACCAGGACGGGGGACTGAAGACTGGTCTCTCTTCTTGAAGCCTTACAGCTAGTAGACTCAGACTCGGAGACCTACACAGAAGCGAGCACAGAGAAGCGAAGAAATCTGGCCGAGGGCCCATGGTGAAAGGCAGACCTCAAAGGCTTACTTGGATCTGTCCCACTCTGTCCTCTACGCCCTGTGCCGGTCCCCTCTCCTCACCTCCCAGAAAGCACACCTACGCATCCTTCCCAATGCCTTCCCCAGGAGGTGAATGCAGGCCAGCAGGTTGTGGGCCATGACAGATGGCGAGAAGGACTTGGGACGTTAGCAGGCACCCACAGTACTATAGGAAAGTACTATAGCAGATGACCCCTGGGTCCAATCAGCAGCGTTGAGTTAAACGTCGTCTTGAATTTGTTCCTTGGACTCAACTGCCGGGTGGTGCTTTTAACTCAAGAATAATAACTGAGCAATGGCATATTATTTTTACATCTCATTTGCATATGATTAACTGTAAGATGTAAATGGAGGTCACCCTGGCCTCTGTTTCTCAGTCTCAGGGACCTACCAGGTCCTGGGTCTCTCCCCTAGCCCAGGCTGGGCTCCCCCAGCCCCTCTACCTCCCACTCTGCGCTCCTGCCAGCCCTCCCCCAGCTCCCAGAAGTCCCCGCGACCGTCCTCACCCACGCAGCCCCCGCCACCTGGCCGCCCACCTGAAAAACTTTTCCCCAAGTTCTCGAGAAGTCGCGTAGGATCCAGGAGAGAAAAATCAAAGTAATAAAACCTCATTTAATTCCTAACGGAGGGCAGAGCAGTGAGCTGCAATTATCTTAATGCTGAGCTATTTTTACTCTCTCCATCTCTGTCTCCTGCTTCTCTCCCTCACGGGAGGCAGCCATCCTCTCCCTCAGCCTCCCTGCTTTGTCTCCCTGCTTTGTCTCCCCCCTCTCAGGCACTTGCCTTACCTACCCCCCCTCCACCCATCTCTCCCTCATACCTCTCCAGTGCCTCCCTTACCTCATTGACCTCCCTCGGCATGACCAGAGTGCTCCTTGCCACTCCCCACCCCACCCCTTCTGGGCCAAGCCAGGGGCTGCCAGAGCTGCCCACACCCAGGGCCAGCAACCTGGCATCCGGCTCTGCTCCCCCAACAAGCATGTAAGTCAACATATACAAAGGGACCTTAGCCAGGCCTGGGGTTGAGGATGGAGTTGAGAGGCCAGAACTTCCCGCTCCCACAAATAAAGCTCTGCCCTGTGGCTACCCTCGCCGTCACCCTGTGGCTGAACACGGTTCCACAAGATTCCTCTGGCTGGGCCTCTTGCTGCACTGAGAACCCAGCAGGCCACGGGGGTGGGGTGGGGTGGGGGGAAGAGGGGGGGCCCAGAGAAGCTGGAAGTGGAAAAGTTGCTGGAGGAGTTGGGGGGCAGGGACGGCTCTGACTGCTCCAGGTCTGAGTGTGACCAAGAGAGAAAACAGCCAACATAAACAGAGCCCCAGGAAGACACACACACACACACACACAGGTCCACACACACACACACACACACACACACACACGCACATGCACTCGTGCTCGCACGCACTCCTGGTGCTACAGAGAGGCATTCAGAGCCAGTACAGGAAACAGGGCTCTCAGACACCCCTTGGCCTGGCCGGCCTGGACAGATAAACAGGGAGGGCACACCAGGCCACAGGCCCTATTCTCAAGCTCCTGCTGAGCCCCACATAAGCAACCACACCTCCCAGGGGAGCACACACAGGCATGACAGCACCAACGCTGGTACAAGCAGACCCTGGCACCCCAACTCTGCCCCCTGGGCTGGCTCATTTTGGGGAGAAACGGCAGGAGATGGCACTACCCGGGTACATCTTGGCAGGGCTACATCCCTCGACGCATACTCAGGACCTCATGCCCCCCCCCCAGGCTCTCAGGCATCAAGGATGCAGTGCCCCACCTCTGCAAACTGCACCCTCCTGCCATCACCCTGACAGCCTCTGACAACCGCCTGGCCCCCACTCCCACCCCCGCAGCCACACAACCGGTCCTCCCACACCCTGCCACTCACTCCTGCATCCTGACACTCTGACACACTTACTCACACTCACTCACACCGCACCGACCACCTCCACAGCGCCGCGTGTGCGCGCGCGCGGACACACATATACACACACACACACACATACACGCACATACACGCCAAGCTATAGGCTGCCAGGCCCTGGCGCTCACGCTCAGCTCACACCCTCCCTGCCACGAGGACTGACAGGTGTCCGCCCACGAGCAGCCCACCCGTGTTCGCGCACACAGGCTTGCTAGGACACCCCCATTCACAGCGTGACTTGCTGCTACTCTCTCGGGACCTCACAGGCCTCCCCGTGACACTCCCAGTGCCCTGCCCCTTAAGGGATAAAGCCCCTGTGCCCAGCTCCCCTGCCCACTGCCCGGCCCTCCCC